CACCGAAAAGAATCACACCGTCTGCCGAGGAACACGAGCAAAAGTTAATCTAGACAGAAGCACCTTTATTTAACCCCGAATTTCATTTCGACACTACCCGGAGAACATCAGCTTTTTGAACCACCCGCGATCTAGTGGATTCGACCACGAAGCTGTAAAAGTGCCGAACAGAGCCTGCTACCAAACCCTGAAAGATTACGAAACAATAGACAGGTGTGGAACAGCAGATACAGCTGACACTCGAATAAAAACAAACTAGTCCTTCAGAGTCGGCCGCAATCGATATCATCCAGGTTCATTGGCCGCTAATCACCTCGCTCCTTCCAAATAGCTCCATTTACATTCAGAATCGCATACATATTCATACGATTTCTCGCGAAAGTTCTCAAATTTTGTAATTTTTCCGAAACGAGTGGTGTTTGCATCGCCCCGACTAGCGCTCATGTGCAGCAATTAACATGACTCGATTTTTTTCTCTAATAATCTTACGACGTTGTTATCGATATTACAAAAAAATAAATATATTACAACGGTATCTATAAGAAAGTGGATACCAGTATAGGCTACAGTAGCATCCCATCCTGGTTTTGCCCATGTAGCGTGCCGCGTTTCGTGCCGTGCACACATGGATGGATATGCCCAGATATGGTAAACAATGTATAATTGGCCAACCTGTAAGTTCCACCAAAGATTTTTTCATGAAACACTGTAAAAAGCGTAAAAGTGTAAGGAAAGGTTAGTAAAGCAGAAGTAAAGGAGAGAGATTATGCAAACCTGAGAAAAGAAACCGCCGACGTCTTGATTAGCATCACGCCTATAGGTTATGCCTTTTGCCCAAGCATTGGCCCATTCGATCATCGAACCGGGCTGGAGTGGAAGAAACTTATTACTGCGGCAGAATAACGTAAAATCTACACCAACTTCAAAATCTTGTCCTCATGAGAAACTAAGACCAGTCAGTAATATATTTTAAGTTGAACGCTTTCCATTTATAGACTGCATACGAATTTTTTTGAGAATGGAAAAGTGGTATCACCATAATTAGCAAAAATATTATTTGCGTGACTACAACTCGATGAAAATATACATTATCTGCTGATAAAAGCCTTTGGGAAAGAGGCATGCGATGAAAGTTGACTTACAGTGAGAACGTACGTGCGTAAATCATAGACATGCGTAGGAGCTCGCTTTTCTGGTTCACGCCAGTAGCTGAATGATTTCACAATGGTGTTTCTGCGACGGTCACAAAGTTTCGCGACTTCGGCATCCGCAGCACAAATAGCACTGTCAGAAGAGTGTAGGTGTATGGCACTGAAACAGTACCACTTAAAACTTTGTCTCATAGCCTATCAATTAGATCGTAGAAAAAGTAATAAAAAATGATTATGTATTTTGGTTAGTAGACTCTACAGCTTAACGCTAAGATGAAGAGGAAGAAGAAGAAAGAAAATATAATGTGACAGCAAAATTGACTCTTCTAAATCAGTGGAGCCGAAAAGAATTAATGAAAATGGGATAGACTACTTCACAGGAACATTTGCGCACCAGTGGACATTATAGGAGAGATCAATATTGACATGACATTACTGCACGATGCCTTCTCTTATCTAGCTTACAAAAAGCTTTCAAACAGTATGAATAATCACATCGCGGAATCTAGTCATCAATGTAAGCAATCCCACAGCAATGATATAGCAAGCGAGCCGAAACAACATTTATAACTTCCCCCGAGAAGATAGTCAACTGTTGCTGAGGCCGAAAAATTTACATACCCCATGATTACGAGTAGGTGTAGGCGATCGATTACCCAATAACAACAACCCATTCCAGCTACCCAGTACCCTTACCTATATCAGGAGGGATCAATTCGTAGACGATAATTATTAAACCTAACGATGTGTAGCAATGACCATGTGCCTGGCCAGGAACGAATTTTATTAGACAATGCTGGTACGTGACATTTCAAGACCAAGCTGCCTGATCGCAACGAGCGACTGCGACCAAGCAGCTTCGTCTCGAAATGTCATGTGTTGGACTGCGCCTTCAAGACCAAGAAAAACATGCGCAGCGAATGCATCACTGTAGGTCGCCCTCTCCTATTTCTCTCCTTTCACCTTCTTCATAGCGATAATCGATAACCACGCAGCAACATTTATCGACTCCCATTTCGTTTGTGGAAACATTCCCAAATATGATCAATTCTTGCTCATACTCTGCATCTTTCCCCGATTCTTCTTTAGTTCAACCGGCGTGGGGCACTGGGCTTGAGCCCAGATAACGCATATAATATTTTCACAAGGGCACCATAAGGAGGCCGATATTGCACAGTATATGCAGACCCACCACCGTATTCTTTGGGAGTGGGCATACTCGCCTGTTTGAAGAGGCACCGCAAATCGCACGGCGAAATTTGTGGCGATTTGGACGACTCTGGTGTCTATCATTAGGCTACAGATTTGAAGTACAGTAGATTATTAAATTAATAGGATCAGCCATTCTCGACTCCACTTTGAGCCTCTGCACCAATGATAGGTACCAGAGTTGTTCAGATCACAAATTTCGTCGAGCAATTCGCCGCGTGCTTCGACGAACGGGCGATATTCTCTCCTCCTGTTTTCAAAGTGCTTAAGAAAACAAGAGTATGGCTAGAAACAGTGCGAAAAGGAAGACTTAAAATAGAAGACCTAATGTTTCGAGATAGAAAGTGGCGTACTTGTCAACATCTTTGTATCCATTTGTGTGACGCCATAAATGAACGGCTTGATCCGTCGTCTTACCGTAGGAAACAGTCCATGACCCTACCAAATCAATAGAGGGGGCCTAAAATCGAGTTTCTGTTGAAGATGTAGAGTGTTGCCAGATATATGTGAAAACAAACTTTTTCATTCATTTGCTTCTTGTAGTTGCCGAAAGCATCCAGATATTTCGCTTTCTCACCAGGGCGGAAGTTGTGTGCTTGAAAGAAAAGTTGCTTGTTAACAGCAATACCGCTTATGAGTTCAAAACTGAATCTCACTGGCAAACTCGTAGATATACTCTGAGGTGCTCAGCAAGCTTGAGAAGCTTTGTTTGTGCCATCCAGAAGGATCTATTTGCTGGCCGGTCTGAATTGCCCCGCATGAAACATAAAAAAGAGAAAGCTATGAAGCGAATATTCCTACCAATAATTTACTGATCCATCCCTGCTGTTGAGGTGGTTTCGGTGTCGGTTCGCCCTCAGTTTTGCCTCCTTCACCTTTACATGTTACAGATGTGGAAAACCTAAACATTTTTATTAATTTTAACATTAATATTATTAATATCATCAGTACCGTTAGTATTACTACTCTGACTATAACTATACGGATACAATCACATCAAAGGTACACATACGTTATAACAATGAGCAACATCCTAGCTACTAACTAGCTCCTAATAACAACTGACTTCACAAACTATTCTTAAAAAAAGACTCCACAACATCACGATTCCTAAATAATTATTATTAAGATGAGAGAAAAGAGAAGACAAAAGATGGGACGAGATTCTTGTGGCCATCTAGTTCCGCTTTCTTCACGTCCTCCAGCGAATGCACACCAGTCAACATAAAACAACTTGTAAAGCCGTTCTCATTCGCGAACTGAATGTCCGTGTCCAACCGATCACCGAACATGACGGTTTTCTTGGGATCAATATGTTGTTTATTTGTTAAGAAATCAGCTATTGGTTTATGAGGTTTTCCAAAAACGGTTGGAATACGACCAGAAACGGCGCGGACAGCAGCGGAAGTACATCCAGCTCCTGGAATCACGATTTCTGGGTTTGGGCCGGGAAAAGTGTAGTCTTCGTTGGTCACCAAGAAATCAACGTCTCTACGCTTCAGGAAATTGGCAGCTTTCATTATCTTCGGGTAACTAAGATGCGAGTCGTAACTACACACAACCGCCTTCGGTATTATGGATAAGTCCATGTCGTGAATGAAATCGTGGTCTGTATGATCGCTAAGATAGTCCGGTCCAGTACCAAAGCAATGAACGTTGCCTATACTCTCCAAAGTCTTCTTGAGGTTCTCTGTACCTAGAAGATACACTGGCTGCCCAGCGTAGTCCGCTCGATCACGAAAATAGGCAGCCATCACTACTGCGGGGTTTATCACATTTTCTTTGGAGACACCCGAAAATCCGATTTTATTTATCTTAGACATATACTGATCCATAGTTTTCGTCGAATTGTTACTGATGATGAAGACGCGCTTGCCAGCGCCTAGTAGGGTCGATACAAAATCTATGGCTCCCGGTACTGGTATATCACCCGTCCATAACACTCCGTCGGCATCGAAAAGAAACGTTTCAAACTTCAACACATCCTTTCGTGAGATCGTTGGTGGAGACATGTATCTAAATCAACATGATGAAGGTGTAGGTATACGGAAACATCAATCGAAGAATTAACATCCAGTGGAATTCAACACCAGTAATGGGCAGAGAACGCTGTTCAATTGCCAATTTTATTGGTAACAAAGGCACAAAGGGAAAATTTAAGAAACTGAAGGGAGAATGGTGATCCAAGCGTACACTTCGTTAAGCTGACATTGATAAAACGTATAAGTTAGAAAAAATAAGCAACCGTCACAAAACATAATGCAATATCCAGAAAAATTTACGCAAACGCTCACTTGGCTCGGTTATGTCGTACAAAAGGCGCTTGTCGAGGCACAAATGTGAGAAGAGAAACCCCCGCTCGATTCATACCTAAAACAACCCAAAAACTCGAGAGGTGAGCAGTCAATGAGCGTAGCGTTGTCAACCATACCGAAACTAATACAAGTCAATTCGGAATGGTTGACTGACAGTGCTCACCCTGACTCAACCTCACCCCCAACTCTAGAAAACATAAAGGATTATTTACAAAACGATTAGTCAACTTCGGGACCTATAGTCCAGATCAATATATAAAACCGAAAGAGGCGAAAACAATAAATCATCGATAAACATGACTGAGCGAAGACCCCATGGCCAAATTTAAAATAGATTGAAGAGCAACTTTTCATTCTTTTCAAACTCGATTTTCTCAGAAACAAAGAGAAATAGCAGCATCGCAACCGTATAAAACGATGAGAACAACAACGACAACATAACTAACAAGTGAGATTAACTGCGTTTTACTTCCCTCTTATGCGTTTCCGTTTCTAAAGGAGAAACCCTACATTCATAACTTGCTCAACAGATGCTAGGGGAATTAAATTTGTATCCTACCTACTTCATAAACAAAAAAGTATTAGTAAAAGCTAAACTCAACATAACAGTATGTTACGAAAACATTAAGAGCTTTCACTTGCGCCATCGCTGCCACCGCCACCACCACCGCCGCCGCGGGCCAGAGGCTGAATAGTCTCAGCATGAAGGTGAGTTTGGCGAGGACTGCGAACACCCTGGTCATCCAACTGCCCACCAGTGTAATGCAATCGAGCATTAACCAGAACACGCGTACCTAAATTGTAAGTTGAAATAAACAATAAGGAAATATATCGAATGTGGGTTCGAAGAAATGTATCCTGACCATTTCTGAAAAAAAGTTCAAGAGACTTCTGGAAAGCAACGAACCTCTTTTGATATTGTTAGCAACGAACTCAGCAGTCCTTCCAAATGCAGTGATCGTATGACGCTCAGTCTGAAACGAACTTTACTCCAAAAAAGCTCGGTGCTTCCGCAGAATGCTTACTAGCAACGAACAAAAGTGTAAAGAAATACAAGCCAAACGAAAAGTACATGCTAGAAATTTTAAGATATCTTGATCAACATCGCTATTTGGTCGCTACGTCAGTGCATAATCAAACTATCGGAGCTGTTTATGCGAAATCTCGAATTACAATGAGTTCTCAAATTCCAATTTATTAAATCATGTTTAGATTAGTTCTCAGACAGCAAAAAACTTTTCACTCTTCAGTGAATGGATCATCTGTTTCATTTCTAATAGCATTACATTCCCTGTTGCCTCTTTCAAAACGCACAGTTTCCAACTCTGTCCTATTTTTTTCTGACTATCTGAAAACGACGCAGGAAAGGTACAAAGTGCCAAAAAAAACTTTTACCTGATCTCTGTATTCCCCATTGGCTAAGCGCTGCCTCGAATTCGTAATAACATTAACTATAGCGTACGGCCGATCATTTTTAGCTGTTTTGAATACGGGATCATTAGCAACGCCGCCAATTATTTCGACTCTGTTTAAGCTGAAACCATTTATTGCTGGATCAAATTGAAGCACTTTCAATTGGGAAGGAAAAGAGAATAAAAATCTCACCTGAACGCATGTGCTCTCCTCTCCTGTGGCGGATTCTCCGCAAACAAAGCTTCAACCTTAAAATTATGATACCACACGAGCATGGAGAGAATACACCCATCATGCACCATGAATGAAACAAAAAGTGCACATCTAGTGCAAACTTACCTCTTTCTTCGTAGGTTGTTCAGCTGATCTTGAGGCTGAAAGGGAAAAGCTCCGAGAGGCTAGTCGTGAAACAACGGAAGTAGCACGCAGCATCTGAATCAACATTGAAACATCAGCATCGAGGGGCAGAGAAATGAAATGCTAAGGGCACTAATGAAACGAGCACATTTACAGCTTTCATAGTACAAAGCCCATACATATAAATACAATTCCGTGATATTCAAATGACAGGGGGGAAACTATAGACAACCACACGAGAAAATCAGCTTAAAAGTGAGCATCGAGGAACCGCACCTTGACTGAACAGACCCACCACATCTCTGTAGCCTTGTAAGTATGGAAACACATCAAAGATGTTTGGAGGCTGAGAACACTAATCGCTAACCACCGAAGAGTAATGCCAAACATTGCTCCGTAGACCACCATTGTAAAAAAAAAAGCTATATCAACTTTACTGTGAACTTATCCATACGATCATGTATGTGTCACTCTAATGAAGCCTCTGTCAACTATCACAACTGTCACATATAAGCATACCAGACTCAGCACTTCACATATGAAAAAAGTTCTTCTTTTGATGGAAGGATGATGAAATGAATAGAGATTCTGAGATATCTGTTCCTGAGCAGTTTTTCGAACTATTCGTACATAACTTACCCAGAAGTCAATACTCACTATGGAGAAGGATAAAAACGTACACAGAATCACGAATGTGGACTGAAAAACAATTAAAACCATTTCTAGAACTCCTAAATGTACGACAAATGCTCGAAATTCCCTAGCTCCTTGCCTTAGCCGGCAGAGATAGTCGAGGAGGGAGTATGAGAGAGTGTGTAAACAAGGGAGAGATCAGGAGCCCTACACGAGCCCTTTAACAAACTATGTGAGAATGGTCACATAGGCGGACCTGATTCGAGGATCAAATAGGGCCACCCTAGGTCAGTATTATGGCCTGCGGGGAACTTTGTGATATCCAGATTCAATGCCCTAAAGTTGTTTCAACTTGAGCCTTTCGATAGTCGTCTGGTTGTACCTATACGTGCGAGAAAAACCACTAGTGAAAACTACACCTAGGGACAGGGACACTTGACAAGCAATTCTGAGTTACTTTGGAAGATCCCCGCGCCTAACCTCCCGATAGTTTTCAAAACGTCATCCAAGTAAATTCCGAGTGTGGCTGTGTGCAGTTCCAAAAAGAACAAGCCTTACCACCCTAATAAACTAAGTAGTACTCCATATTCCGGTAATGAGACTCGTGTTTTGCCTGCTCTTTGGTCCAGGGTTTTCAAAACGTCTTCAATCAAATTAACGGGTCTCATGAAAACATTTAAGTCAGGACCCACAGGCTGTATTACTGAATCGCAGAATCCATGAATTGCGAAATCTGTCAGGTCGATTTCAACATGCATTCCAACGGAGTTCAAAGGAAAAAACGTAGGTTGCAGCTACCATGGGAGTGGAAAGTAGATAAGACGACCTGCCCCCCAAGCAAGAGTTTCTTAGACTTTACCTGGTGCAGAAGCGCCAAAAGAAACCAGAAAAAAATGAGGGTGTTGGGGACAAGGGTTGAGCTGATTCATGAAATTTGAGAAAAAAATAGCGTCATCTGTGGGAAAACAATAGATCTCAAAAGTATAGCACAAATATAATGCACTTTAATGTGTTGAGGGAGGATTGGAACCCAAATAAAGGACTAGGATGTTCGGCCGCTCCATCGTCAACCTGTGGGTACTTTACTCAAAAGCACCGCGTCATTTGCCGCCTGACCTGCCGCGCGCGACGTTAACGACACGTCTTTACTGGAACGTGACAGCCCTTTCTGGTCAATACCTACTTTTTTGCCCGGGGTCAAAACAAGTTCTTACATGTGTGACTCGAATTGGGTTGGTAGTGTTTTTGTATTGGAATTGGGAGTATCCTATTAGTCCGTAACAGGTGAATAGTCTATCTTGCCCTAAGATCCCGTCTGGTTTTTTTTCTCGTAATCTTCCTCTTTTTTCCAATCGCTGCAGCCTAATTTCCGCTGGAGATTCTCAAATTTGATTCATTATTTTAAGATTTTTCTCAACACAATTGTCTGAGATCTCTGTTTTAACTTCCTCAAATTAAAGGTTACTCCATCTGACATGACTTCTTGGTAACCTCTAGAATCACTCACTTATATCATTAAAATCGCGTTTGTCAAGCAGCTATGAAGTAAATCAGTCGACTTTTACGAGGTGTTACGGTATCACACGTTCAGGGGACGTTGAAATCTGACTTCTCACTCACGTAATCGAATCCCGGATCGACATCCGCTTAAGCCAAAGAAACCTTCCATCCCTCCGAAGTCGGTTAATAGTATTAGACTCGTCTGGGAAGATAAAAACATTGACTTCTACATCGCTGGTCACAGCAATTCATTGTATAGGCCGCATAAGCATTCAATACGCCACTATGATTTTAAATGGAAATCGAATGCGGGCGCATCCTTCGGACGGGAATGATCAGCTCCCAAGGACTTCATCCTTATTCATATCTTCCTTTCGTCATGAATAATCCCGGAACACATCGGCTACCCTTCGACCGCATCCCTCATGGTCCCTTTGAAGCTTTTCTCAACTGAACTGCCGAGGGTCCAGTTTTTTGTTCCTAGAAGTTCTTGCCCATGCAAGGCAGACTGGGAGGCTGTAGAAGTTCCAAAGTTGTGCGGTCTCCAATAAGGTATCTGGCCTTACTAACAAAGCCTGTAAGCGAGAAAAAGCCTCGTCCAGTAGGCCTATTAGGATTATTGGTTACAGTTTACGATAGACTAAGCAATTACCATAAATAAAAAACCATTTGTAAAGCTTTTCAAAAAAACTGTATATGTCAATCTTTATAGAATCACTGACCTCACTGAAAACCAAAATCAATAGCGAATCAACAACGTGCGAGTTTTCCTGCAGTCTTATGGAGTATCCTGCATAGTGCTACAGAATTGGGCTACCCTGGCGGGAAAGTTGCTTTGTTGGAAGTCGATCCAGGCCTGCAGCTAGTTGAATAGGGCAATAGGTAATAGCAGCAACAGCTCTACACAGCTGTGACTATTTTCGACAGTGCGCCCGCCACCCAGTATCAGGTGAGAGCACGCCCTGATATCAGGTAATAGTACAATTGGTGTGTATAAAGTATTCAAAGAGGCCCATATGGGGCAAAGATAGAGCATTGCCATATACAGCAGGCATGATCCAGGTATCATGTCCTGTATCAAATCTCGCCCTAACCCATGAAGACTCTCATAGTACTGGAGTAGATTGATTCACGGAAGACCAGTTCAGGGTATAGAACGCCCAATTGATGTCTGCATTTTCTGGTAATAGTAAATCGTGTAGATTGAGCACGGATTTGAATATTGGTCTAATTCTAAGTGGAAGTCAATTGCCTGGCGCATTCCACAAAAATTATTAACTCTAAACGACCCAT